GGGGCTGGCTGGCATGTGGTGCTGGGGGATTGAACCGCGCGGTCCCTGTGCTTTGCTAAGCTTGTTCTAAGTAGGTGCTTTAGACCACTGAGCCATCTCACCAGCCCGTCAATAGCATTTTTAAAACCACATAATACATATTATATGTATCCAGAATTTATTTAACTATCGGCCTACAAAATTAAGTTTAGGTTTACTTTTAGACATATGTATCTATCTCCTCTCTCCTCTCTCCCCTCTCCCTCGCCTCTCTCTCTGTGTTTTACTGGGGAATAAAATCAAGGTCTTAACAGTAAGCTCATCCCCAGCCCATTTTTTAATTTTGAGACTGCATCTTACTAAGTCATTAAGTATTCACACTTTTGATCCTTTTGCCTCAGCCTTCTAGAGTACTGGGATTACAGGTGTATGACCCTATGCACCACAAAAAATTTTTTTAAGTAAAAAAAAATTAGCTGCATATATAAAAATCTTGGTTTTATAGTTTGCCTAATATATATGTTTCCTTAGGCTCCAACACGGTACCAAGGAACATACACAGTGTTGTGTTAGAGTAATACCTACACTCATGCAACAGATGTCCTTGAGGCCCTCCCCAGGGTTAAAGTTTTAGAATCTTGCAAATTCAATTCCAGAAACATCTGCTTGCATAAAGAGCTGCAACAGGAACCCCACATTTCGAAAGGGCAGTAGGAGGGGGGTGAGTTCCATGTGGCAGAAAGATCAAGTTGGCTGAGTAGGAGAGACTGCTCTGAAGGCAGCAAGAACAGGAGCTGTTTTTGCAAACCTCCAGAGATGGACCCCGGATCCATCTGTATCATCTGTACGGCATATATCTAGATGCCCAAAGCCTTCTGTGCTTGCTCATAGGTGGGGCTTTTGTGAGTGACTAGATCATGGGTGCGCAACAGAGGAGTAGACCACTGATTGTCAATGGTTTAGCAGAGTTCTACTGTGGACAGTGGACTTCCTGAAGAGGGAAGACCACCCTGGGTGTAGGTGGTACCAACCAATAGACTTGTAGCCTGGGTGGGATAAAAAGGGGAAGAAGCAAGGCTAGCTTCTGCCTGCCTGCCACACCATGGACTGTTCCTCCTCTGCCATTAGCCTCTGCCTTGGGGCCAGTCAACTGTGGACTAAGACCTTTCAGAACTCTGGGCCGAAATAAACCTCTCCTCCTTTAACTTGTGGATACTGAGTATTTTTTATTTATTTATTTATTTATTACATTTATTTATTTTATTTATGTGTGTGGCCAGCTCAGCCCACCAGGGGGCGGGGCGGGCTGGCATGTGGTGCTAGGGGATTGAACTGAGGTCCCTTTGTTTTTGCTAAGCTTGTTCTGAGTAGGTGCTTTAGACCACTGAGCCATCTCTCCAGCCCCAATACTGAGTATTTTGTCTCAGCTACAAGAAAGTAATGAAGACACCTCCTGTCATCTTTTCACCACCTAGTTGGCTCCATTGCTGAGAATGAAGTAAAAATTCTTCATTTCTGCCACTTCCTAAAGTTCTTTTCGCTCTTGCTACAGGGTGTGCTTTGCTTATGGTTTCCTCTCATAAATTATGTTCCTTCCTGTCTCTGTGCCACTCCTGGTCTGATTTGCCCTCCTTCCACCTTGTTGAAACTCCTCCTGGTCTTCTATGATTCAAGTCAAGCACCACCATGCCCCCAAGAACACCCCTCAGTGCATCTTTCTTCATCTCCTCCTCAACCTCAACTTGACTAGGTACTCTGCTCTCCTTCACCTTCACAAGAAACTCAGATCACTTTGTGAATTACTGCTGGAAAAGGCCCTTCACACAGGGCTTAGCACTGTGCAGGCTCAGAGCCTGGCTGCTGGGGCAAACAGTGTGCAGGTGAGATGGAGCCACAGAGCTCAGAGTGTAAAGACCATTTGCTCAACCACCTCCCTTTGTACACAACCTGTAGAGCAATGGAGATTGTTTGGAAAATGTAGATTTCAATACTGGGTTCATATTATCCTGGAACCCAGAGCTGGTTGATACCAAAAGCAACTTCTGAAACTGAAGGGGAAGAGAAACCAGTTAATAACATTTTTTCCTGTGCTAGCTTGCTTTTTTTCTGCTTTCTCTGCACAGACCAGAACTGACCTGTGATCAGCTGGTCTCCAGCCAGCTGACCCTAACATACTGTTTTGCAAGGATGGACTGAAGCTGATGTTGTCTGTAAATATAGCTTAATGGCGCTCAGTGGCCTTGCTGGTGTCATGGAAAAAGCAAGTGTTGGTAAAACAAATGGACTGGGGTTAGAGTCCCTTTCTGCCTACAGCTAAAGTCTCTGTACCTTTCTGGGTCATCCATAGCTTATTAGGAGGAGAAGCATTTAGGGTGCTGTCTACCATTACCCTACCGGCCAGGGGAGACAACTTTTCCAAGCCATGCAATTAGAAAATAAGCTTGGAGTCTTGACTTCCATTTCAGTGCTGTTCTCACTGTGTCATGCTGTTCCTCAAATAGAATCCACTGTGACATGTGAGGAGTCTTTAGAGAAATGTGTCCCCAACACTAGAGTAGAAATAGCACTTACTGTCACGAATAACCTTTTCTACTCCTTATAATATCCTATGGGAATGATTCTGTTCATTATTTTATACAGTCACGAAAATTGATGATTAGAGTTACTTGTCCAAGGTCATATAGTTAGTGGTAAAAGTAACTTTCAATCCAAGTAGTCTAACAGGGGAAGCCATGCCGTTAAAATCACAGACCCGGTGCTTAGGAGAATCATGTCCTCTAGGGACACTCATCAACTAACACACTGAAGACTCTGAGGAAATCTGCAGGAAAGACTTCAGAGTTTGTGCAATCCTGTAATAGAAGCCATGTCTGTACATGAAGTATTTCTTTAGAGAACTGTATGATGCCTCAAACATATTAGGCATATGTTAAATATTTATTGAGCAAATAAAATAGGTTACTGAGTTAAATAATTATGACTGCAGTTAAGTAGTGACAACTCAAAATTTGTGAGAGTTACAGATATTTTTAACAAGTGAATTTTTAAAATTTGCTTAATG